CTGTATATATACATATATGTATATATATACATGCATATATTTATCTTGTAAATAGTGGCCCTACAGAGAAATTCACAAAAATTGTTATTTTTCTGCAAATCAAGTAAAGCCAATAAGGTTTACGTAAATAACATTATGTAAGACTAAGCCCCTTGTGAACTCTGCTCATCAACCTCCCATAACTGGTTAAAACTTGATTAGTAAAAATTAGGTTTTTTTTTTTTACAATTTTTATGGAAAAGTTACCTTATGAAAAATGGTGACTGATGAAATTTAAAAATTAAATATTAAAACGTAATACTTTCTTTAATTTCAGCATCGTTTCTGACTGACTCAAAATTTATAATAAGCTGGTCATTGTGCATTCTGTGGACCATACCCAGAAACAAAGAATTGTATAAGGAAAATCAAAAATACTATTCATACTTTAGAGAAAAATTCAATTTTAATGGAATTCGATGTACTGTTACGTGGGTTTCAATTGTGGGTGGGCTACGTGCGGAAATTAATATAAAATAGGTCAACTTGTAGTTAACTTATACTTTATTGGAATTTTTTATATCTGGAATGTTCAAGCTATGCTGTGCGTGTGCTAATCCTGTGGGCCTGGTCCTTCTGCTCTCGTGTCTCTAGCTGATCTCTCCTTTACTCTCACCCTTTGTTCTCTCATTTTTATCACTTCTCCTCTCTATTACCGTACCCTTCGGGCCCAAGCCAGTGGAGGCGCACACATGCATAGCTCTATGCTATCGTACCTAACACGTCTGAGGCCACGACGCTGACGTCCTTAGCGGCGATTTTCTTCTCTATATGTATGTCTGTGGTAAAGTAGTGCCTCTGTTATGTTGTTTGTATTGTATAGTATTTCCGATTAGAGGAAAGAGGGTGGTAATTTGAAGCGAGAAGGTGGTTTGTCGAGTATGCACTAGTCGTTAAAAAAATTTTTTTCTTTGTTACTATCTATACCTATTTATTTTTCTCTAAGTATTATTTTATTATTAGTGCTATCCTCCTTTTACATTATTGCTATTAATCTTTCAAGTTGATCCATAGGTCGCCGAGTGGTGTTGCTCTCCGATGTCGTCTCATCTACTGTTCGCTTTCTGTTATATTGGTCGTTATCTGTAAACAATCTTTAACACGTATTAGTAAAAGGGCCCCCCCTATGGGAAACGGCACTTAGATGCAACTGTTATAATGAAGGAAGAGAAGGTGTGTTGAGTTAATTTACTAAATCTTCGCACTCAACGTACTACGGTAAAATGAATGTGTTAATAACTTATAATGTGAAAAGACTTCTTCCATCCGGTAGTTATACCTTGCACCCCTTTTACACGTATATTTTCTTGCCTCATATTAAATTCTTACTTTTTTATATCTAACTGTTTTTTTTCTTCTGTCGTACAAAAAGCTTAGACTAGTTTTCTTATAAAATATAGCATCGTTTTATTTATTTTTTTTTTTTTTATTACTTTTATTAGTAGACTTTGAAAGATGTTTTGATTTCGTACCCAATTCAATGGTTTACAAAATGTAGATTTTTTTTTAACCTGATGTCAGTTAAAAATGTTTCTCAGCTATAATAAATGTTTGGTTCTTTTCTGGGAATGTGTACTTTGTTAAAAGGGAAAGTTTATAGGTAATTTGTAGGTATTATTAGGCAAAAGTTTGTTAGGTTTTTTTTCTGATTTCTGTAAAACATGCAAATACTCAGCTTTTTTCCTACTTAACACTTACTCTTGTTAGTCAATACAAGGATTTTTGGCTTCTCTTTACGTCGTCATTTATCAAGCTGTGTTTTTTTTTTTGGTGCGTACGTTCTCTGTCGTTATAGTGTTGATATTCCCTGATAATACCGTGTGGTGTTTCAGTAGCAGGGTTGCTCAATCATTGTGGCAATCTATGTTATATTCTTACTGCGAATTCTTGAGTGTTATGTCCCATGTTCTGACATCGTTTACGAGACTGATGACTCGTATTATTCTGTTGAGCAGGGTTTTTCCCACATAAATACACATGTATGTACATACACACACATTTTTTCTTTGATGTATATTTTACAGCCATTGTATTTTCTTCTGAGAACTGTGTCCTATAGGGTCTACAATGTTGTGTTACTATACATGTATATTCTGTTGTCATTGGCATCGTGAAATGCTGTCTTAGATTTTATTATGATTTTACTCCCTTCCACAGTGGAGAAGACCTTATCTTAAATGTCTTCCAAACTGAATGTGAGTGACTATTTCTTTTGTTTAGTTTTATTTAAGACTCGTTGTGTAAAACACAACTCCATTATTTTCAGTAGTTGTTATTGTCCTCTGATAATTGTTCAATCTGAATCTTACAATCAATTATGCAATCAGTTTTTTTTCTCTGTGATCTCCAATAGACGATTCTTAAAGTTAAAGAAGGGTTTATCTATTTTGACATTTTAATAGTAGGTGAGGAATATCAAGAGTGGCCATAAATAGAGTAAGTAACGGATTATAGCTGAGGACGCGTTTAGTGAATATTTTCAATTGTAGCTGTATTTTTTTGTAATTAAAATCGAAATAATTTTTAAATAAGATTTTTTTCGTGGAACTTAGCATATCGTACCTTCTTTAAAATCTACTAATTATACTATTCTGAAGTGTATCATGGATAATTGTAAGTGTACTTAAAATTTTTTCGTTATTAAATCCTTTTTTTTTACGTGTATTGTTAATAATGTTTTTCTTCCCATGTTTTTTTTTGTTCTTACAAAAATACAATACTAATGATTACTATTAATTAATTAATTATCATTATTATTATTATACTTTTTTCTATAGTTCTAAGTGGGAATATATAATTTTCTCATTATAAACAATATCTCTCATTGTTTTTTTGTTTGTTTTTATTTTGACAATGCCTTTTCTGTTAAGGGTTGAAAAGTATTATACCTTATAATGTATCTTATAACTTATTTTTCCGTACGTTGGGTGTTGTGCAGCCAGAACAATTTGACATACGTGTACTCTTCTCTTCCTTTTTTTTTTGCTTTTACTTGGCACGTGCGTCTAAGGGCCCCGCTAAGGGAAATTTCTTTTTTTCTAATTGTGTACGTACTTTATTCAGATTATTTTTATAGAAACAGAAGTGTTAATTGATTGAATGTCTGTTGGTTACGCAGTTATTTGTTATTTTATATTTTCTTACCTCATAATTCGTTGTTCTCTTGCGGCTCTTCTGAGGGACGCAAAGTCAAAAAGAGGTTCCTTTCTAATGAGTTCTATACGTACTTGTTGGTATTGATTTCGGAAGGAGAAGTTACAGATTTCTAAGATGTCTGTACGTTACGCTTTTGTGTGCATTTTTTCTGTATCTGTTTACATATTTCATTATTTATTCTCTATATTTCTACACTTTCATTTTTGTCCTTTCACGGGCCGATAAAAAGGAAAAAACACGTGTTTATTCTGTAGTGTCTTGCTCCTTTTCCTTTTTGTTTTCCACTGGGTATAACGATTTTAATATACACGCCTTTTTAATTTTGTCTACATGGGCTACGCGTATCGTTGTCACTTTGTAATTTTACGTTGTGATTTTTTTAATCTATGCCCATTATTTTATATAGCCCCTCAAAATGGTCGTCGTACTTTATTTTGGACGGTTCTTTTAATATGTATACCATTACCCCTTCCATGAAGAACTTTGTAATCAGTTTCTTGTCCTAATAGTATTTTTATCAGTATTTTTTTTGTGTCTGTGTCATTGCTGCTAGTCTTTATAGTTGTATGAGGTTCCCTGTTATTTGTTCCAGTAAGTCTGTGTATGATGTCGTTTTTTCGGCTACTAAAAGCTTGACGGAAGTTTTGCACTTTGGCCGAATACGCACTCGTGTGGAGAGTAGCCTGTACTCTCTTGCTCTGATGTATTGTATGCCAGTGCGCGCTGTGGTAGTACTTCGTCCCATTTTTCAGTTTAGCTAACGTATGCTTTTAAATATTTTGTCAGAACGTGGAGCATACGCTAAATCGCACCGTTGCTTTGTGGGTGGTAAGCTGTGCTCCCAATTTTATCGACTCTAAATAGTTTGGCGAATTCCTTCATAGTTCTGTTTATGAAGTGTATTCCCCTATCCAATAATAATTTCCCTGGAGCTCCAAAATATGCAATGAATATGTCCGTTAAGGCTCCCACTGTTTCATCTGCCGTTGCTTTCTCAACGGGGGCCAGCACTATATACTTAGTTAGCCAATCTTGTATTGATAAAATGTTTGTATTATTTGTTGCAAGCCGATGGTTGATTTATTGGTCCATAGAAGTCTATCAAAATCTTTTCGAATGGTCTGCTCGGAGTGTCCATGATCAACATGGCTTGTTTTGTTTTTACTCGCACTAGCTTTTTCGTTTGGTATGATGAGCAGCTGAGTACGTATTGCCTTACGTCTGGCCTCATATTTCGCCAATAAAAATCTTTTGCTACTTTGCTATACGTTTAGAGTTAGTATTACTAAGTCTCTCATCAGTCCTATCATTTTTAATTTGTTTCCCATTACTAGTGATATAAGGGCTATTACGCATTTCTTTATGTCGGATTTCAGCGGTAAACCCTCGAAGTAAGTTTTCGCGTACATTCGAATAACACACACTTTCCTTATTTTGGAAGGCATGATGCCACCGGCTTGCTCCGTCTTGTTATTTATGATTACCGAGTTTATATAGCCTTGCTCGTATAGCACGTCAATAGTCTTTGTGCCCAGAATATCGTCTTTTATTGTGAAGAACGCTAGGTTATTGATGTACCTAAACCGGTGATCTTTGACTTTTCTCATTTTTTGAAACGGGATGGGGTCTGTGTTGCTTTGAGGGGCCCATGGAGGTATGTCACGTGGCATTCGTGTCCTACATAGTCTATACTTTATCATTGTGCCCACTTGGTTGAAAATTTCTCCCTCCTAGCCAGGACTATAGTCGCTTTCTTCTATTAAAGCTTTGTTTAGGCCCCAGTCGCTATCCGGTGAGAGAGAGTCTCAATTGGTGTTAGTGTTCAGTGGTGGTGGAGGTTTAGGCGGGGGTATGATTCGCTCTACATCAGCCTTCTCTCTTTCTTTCTCTCTCTTGCTTTCTTTGTCGCTCTTCGTATCCCATGTGCCCTGTTCACCATTCTCTCCCTCTCTTTTGTTTACATATTGTTCGTTGCTGTTTTCTTCAAGATTTTTCTCTGTGTTATCTTGAGACTCCTGTTTATCGGGGTCATCCTCTTGATTTCCATTATTATTTTTAGGTGAGGCGTTGCCATTGGTTTCCTCTAGAAAGGCTTGGTAGTGTTGGCTTTTAAGGTTTATGTGCTTGAATTCTGCGTCTTCCCCCCCCCCATTAGGTGTTGGTATACTGTCTTACTGGGTGCCACTTGTTAATGTATGCGTATGTTTGCTTCATACTGTTGTTAAAATATAAAAGCGACTTTCCCATCGCTGAATTCATGGTTGTTATTACGTATTATTTTTGCTTGATTTGGGTCTTTACATTTATTTATCCATTTTGACCCACATAGCGCTTTTTTAGGTTCATCTGTTGATTCTGCCAACCCATACAGGAGTGTTAGGCAATAAAACAGAGAGCTACCATTTCTAGGGACGTCGATCGTTCTTAGCCGTTAATAGGGTTCGGCGCATTGGGTCCCTGATGTTCGAGTCTTCACATCTTTGTCGTTCATCACGATTGGTATATCATCGCTTTCTCATATGTCGATTCTTATGCCATCTTTTTCTATAATGTATTTTTGTTCAACGTTGATTGAGACCTTTGCTCAAAATCGATTTGTGGATTCGTTGAGTATTGATTTTGAATTGGTAATTGAACCTCTGCTGTTATTATAATTTTTGTTTTTGCCGTCGGGTTTTTGTGCATCTGGCGGTCGTTGGCTCCCATGTTTGTTCGGTGCTGTTTGGCTTGGTTCGGTCATTTCCGTCCCTTGCTCGTCTACCTGCTGTCAACCTGTGGCTCTACTCTCCCTCTGCTGGTCCTTTACCCCTCTTTTATATTCCGATCTCTCTAAACCTTCTTTGTCTCCGTCAGGTGTTGCTGCCATTGCCAATTCCTCTATTGCCTCCCTAGCTTTCCGCTCTCTCTCTTTTTCTGCTCTCTCCACAGCCTTGCTATTCTGCGCTAGTTGGAATCCCAAATGTTCTGCCAGCTTGGGTTTCCTCTGTGTTGCTGCCACTGAATCACAGTGCGCAATAATAATCTCTTCCGAGTTTCACCAATGCTCGACAGTATTAGAAAATTCCGGGATTTTCCTATGAAGTGTGTTTCATTGCTGGTTACAAGTTCTATGTTGTATTTTTCCTGCGGTACCTTTGTTTATCAATGGTGTGCTGGTTGTTTTTACCTCTTTTTCCATATTTTTTTCTTTGCGTATGTACGTTAGTTTGTTGTCTGCTGGTTCTTGCGACAATTTTTGCTCTTTGTCATTTATCGTTGTAAAGTTATCTTTTTTTGTTTTATTTTTCAGTTTTTCCGTCATTTCCTGTTCTAATCCTGTATCTATATCACTGTGACTGCTGGTGCTTGATATGTGCTCACTTCTTTTAAATTTTCTTGGCTTCTGTTTAATTACTTTCTCGTCTCACACCTCTGAGTCAGATGCTTCTATTTTGACTTTCTTATTATATTGTATTAGATTCCTCTGTCTCCTTGTACGCATTTTATATAGTCATGCCAGTGGCACGTTTACGCCTTCATGATTGTCCCTTTGCTGTTTTTTTGCGAGTTCATACAGCTCCCAGCGTGGTAGTTCTGGGTTGTCCTCCCCTTCTTTTATTATTGGGTTACGAGACAGGATATCCGGTGCCTTGTTTATTAGTCCAGGTCTGTAAACAACATTAAATTCTTATCCTTGAAGTTCTGCTTTCAACCTTGAAAATCTTAAGTCCGGCTTGTTTGATGTGTTAAAATGATTGAGCGGTTTGTGGTCTTTTATGACTGTAATTTCACGACCGAAAAAATATAGCCTGAATTGCTCTTTGGCGTACACTATCGTGAACGTAGGTCGGGTATCGTAATTCACTGCCTTTCAAGCATCTGGACGCACATTTACAAGGGTGATCTTTACCTATCCCTCCCTGGCTTAAAATTACTCCGATGGCGTAGTCAGATGCCTCGGTTGTTACGATGAAAGGTTCGTTTTTTACTCGGCCAAGTACTGGCTTACTGCACAGAGCATTTTGAGGTTCTATAAGCGCATGGTCTTGTTCTTTCTCCCACTTAAATTCGGCTATTTTTCTTGTAAGCTTTGAGAGAGGTTTGGCTATTTTTGCGTAACCCTTGATGGAGCATCGATAGTACCCTGCTAGTGTCAGAAATTGTTCAATTTTTATCGTATTTGTTGGTTTAGGAAAACTTTTTACTGCTTTAATTTTTTTTACATTTGTTTTGATCTGGCCATTGCCTACAATGTGACCGAGCACTTTTGCTTCCTTCCTAAGAAATTGGCATTTTCTCAGTTTTATTGTGAGGTTTGCTTCGGCTTACTGTTTTAAGAGCTTCTTGAATCTTATTCCGTGTTGTTCCAAATTTTCTGCGAATACCAACATGTCGTCCATATATATCTTTATCTTGTGTTTTTGTAGGTCCGCTAGTGCTAGTGTTTTCACTTGCATGAATGTACTTGGAAAGTCTATGTATCCCATCGGCATTTGTTTACATTGGTAATGTCCGTTTGGTCCTGAGAACGCCGTTTTATGAGCTTTCTCCTGGTGAATTCCTACTTGGAAAAACCCGCTCTTCAAATCTACAACGATTATATATTTTGCAGCTGCTAAATTTTTCATAACTTCATTCTGTAATGCTCGCAGATATCACGTACCGACCGTTATTTCGTTTACTAGCCAGAAATTTGTTACGACCCTCCAGGGTTCTTCTTCGTTTGGTCCCACAATTTTTCGGACAATCCACATATTTGAATAATATTTTAATATATGTCAATGGTTCCATTATTTGTTGTTGTAGTAGCTTGTTTATTTCTGTTTGCATTTACTCCTTTAGTTTTATTGGATAACGTACCTTTTTGGTAACGATCGGTCTCTCTTTTAATGCTTTTATTCTATGTTTAAGTAAGTTTGTTGCCTTTAGTGGTTCGCCGTCGAGGCAAAACAAAAAAGGATTGTACTTTATGAAGTTCTGGATGTGATCTAGTTCCTCCATGTTGCAGCCAGATGTATTGACAATTTTCATTATTTTGTTTATTCAAGCCACTGTATCCGATTTCCTAATACGTTCGGAATTTTCAATGTCACCCCTTACATTGTACTTTTTTTTACCGCTTATCGCACTTTTTGCGCTTATAACTTTATTATCTTCTTTATTTTTATCTGAGATTTAAGTGTTAAAAAGCCCGATCATTGCTTTTTTCAACCCTTCAGCGTCGTCCCCTGCGGTGCTAAATAGTTCTGCCCCTTGTCTTGTTTCACATTCAAAAACATCTACCTCTGGTACTGGCACGTCAATTCGTTTGTCTGTTATGTTTATAATTTCTGCATGTATTTTTCTTTTTTTTTTCTCCTATAAGATTTCCAAATAAGATTTCCTCTTTTGTGTTTTGTAGAGGGCCCACTTTTTTGTGGCTTTTGTTATCTTTTATACGTGCAAATATTATTTTCCTCAACTTTGCGGGGATTTTGAAATATTCTGGTCTTAGTTAAGGGATTTTGATGCCTTTTAGTTTTAAAAAATTTTTATTGGCACTTATGAGGCCATTATATAACTCAAATGCGTCTCAGCCAATAATGCCTATCACCTCTATCGGAAAGGTACTTGGAACTACATGCAGATTTATTATGATACCATTTAGAGGTATTTAAGTGGCCCCTAACGTGCAGCATGCTCCGTGTGTGACGCCAGTTATTAGGACTTTTTGTCTGCTCTCTATATGCGTGCTTGTAGTGAGACAGTATTCTTTCATAATTAATACTTTGGCATCAGTATCTACGTAAAACTTTGCACTATATGATTGAAGTTAATTGCAATTTACTATTATTGATGGTGGTATGTTCTTAATACACGTAATATTTACCTTGCAGATAGGTAGGTTCATGTTATCCTTGATGTTTTTTCCACCAGATAAGGGGCTACTAGTCATAGGTTATATTTCAACTCTTTTTTTCTTCGAAAATATTTTCAGCCATTCGAAGAGCCTGCTCGGGGCCTGTTTCTCCGATGTGTATTTTGTCTGATTCTGTTGGCTCCGTCTCTCCCTTGGCTGCCTCTGTCTCATTCTTGCGCTCTATCTCTCTTTCTATTCTCGGGGCTCTCTAAGTGCTTGGGGAGAACGATGAGTGCCCTGCGAGTTTAAATTTACCGTACTATTCGTAAATATTTTTCCATCAGGTGCATCATTTGCTCTATTTAAAGGTTCTCTGTCATTATAATTTTCGTTCCTATGATAATTTTTGTCATAGTTATAATTGCCTCTATAATTATTGTAGTTACCGTACTGGTTATTGTAATTGTTGTTGTTATTTCTTGGGTAATCAATGTTCCTGTTGTAGTTGTTATATCTGTTGTAACTTGCATTATTATAGGATTTCCTTACATAATCGTTGTTATAACTTTGGTTATATGTATTAGAGGGGTAATTACAATTTTTTTAGTTGTTGAAATGTTCTTCCGTATTCTCCCTGTTATCGATGTTAAATTTTTCGCACCCATCGCTCTGATTTATTCTCTTACTCTCTGCATCTTTTACCAGTGTGCGACATTCACTTGTATCGTGCTCCCTGCGTTTGTAGTAAGCGTAATTTTTAACTCTTACATTTTGTTTATCTTGCGATAACTGTGCTGGTGGGTCATTTGCTTTTATGTCCGGGTTTTCAATATTCTTATTCGTCACGTCTGTTACCAGTTTTATTCATAATTTTGTAGCATGCTCCTCGTATTAATTGCAATATGAGCAATATTGATGATTCCCGGTTGTTTAACCTTTTTCTGTCATTTCGCATGCTTTTTGCTTGCTCATGGTTACGCGCACGATCGTCCGTATCTCTTGTTTCTGTTCTCGCTAGGCATATTTGAGCCTCGATTCGTGCTTGCATTACCTCACGTAAGTTTTGGACTTAGGCATGTTACCCTGTAGTTATGAGGCGATTGTATTCCGTACGTGTATTGCTTTATGGCTTTTTTTTAAGCGCTCTCTTTCAATGCCTGTCGTTGACTAGGAAGTAGTGTCGTATTCGAGTCGTGAAGTGTTATTTTTCTATCGTATGTTTTCTGTACACGGCTGCTGTAGTCTTCTACGAGTTCCCCTTTATATTGCTTTAAAACTTTTAATTTTGCCAATAACGTATCGACGCTCCCGATGCTGCTGTATCTGTTTTTTAGTTCTACTAAAAATTGGTCTACAGAAGAGAACTGTGCTAGCCGTGGTATGAATTCGACTGCCTTGTCCTTAAATTTATTTGCTAGTGAGCCAATATAAAACTTTTCGTATGAAGGGCTTACATTCCATGATACCATTTTTACCATTTGCTCGAATAGAGATAACTTAATGGGATCGCCATTAAATGTTAGCATGTTTGTTGCTAAGTGGCCTAATGACAACATCGTGTTCTGAGTTTGGCGTTCGTGATTGAAATTTCCTGTATCATGCGAAGGTACCGTAAATTGGTTTTGGGCATTTAAGTAATTTGTATTCACACAATTTGATTTAAATTCCTTGGATGGGGTTTTGTTGGTGTATTTTGTCTATAGTTATTATTGTTGTAGATAATATCGTGAGCAACCTTCTCGATCAAAATAACTTGCTCCTTTTAAGCTACTGAGACTCACATTTGTATTTGACACTGTGTGGTTCATATTGGTTTGTATATTGTTGCACCGCCTGTGCAGCTACTTCTCTTCTTATGTCCTGTATATTTATGTTGTCTTTGGTTTGCGCTTTATCGCTAGGTTTATTAGTAAAGGGTTGGCTCCTGTTCGTTGTCAAATTTTTATGCTTGCCGTGGAAAGTTAATTTTTCTAATAAGCGAGGTTTATGTGTTTCGGTATGAGATGGCGCATCGGCTTCGGTATTGCTCATGTCTTACCTATGAGATAGCCACCCACGTCTTATGTTTGGCGTTAATTTCCTCAACATTTTCATCATGAAAAGCATCTGTTTTTTGCTGGCTTTCTGTTATTCTGTCCATGATTCTGGATCATCTTCTAAGTCAATCCGTATCACCTCGTCCTCTGTGTTAATCGGTCCCACTGTATGTGCGCTTGTGTATCTCTCGACTTCCTGTACTCTTTCTCCCAGTGTATCGTTTCTTTCTACGTCACTCATAATTTTGATCTCTAGTTTTATCTGTAGTATGTCTTGTGTGTTCGTGTATATATATATATA